TATGTGTGTATGTATGTGTGTGTAAATTTTTTAAATTTATTTTCGTTGCACTTGTGTCACTTTGAGAGTTGCAGCTCGTTTTTCGCCAGCTGCCATTGAAAAATGGCTCAAAATGCATACTTAGCGCGCATACACATCACTCATACGCCACGTACAACAGTTGTTTGAAGTTTCATATTGCACGTGATGCGCTTTTAGTATTTGTGTAGATATGCGCTGGTTCTTACAGTTTTAGTTTTAGTTGTTGTTATTATTTTATTGTTGTAGTTGTTGTTATTATAATTGTTGTTGTTGTTGTTATTATTTTTACTGTCGTTGCTATTTCAAAGTAGTTTACGTTGCTATGAAAATATATTTTTAAGTTTCTTCAAGATTTTCACACATACATATGTTCTCAGCATTCACACTCACACCCGCAACTCTGTGTTTGCTCTGCTCAGCTGCTGTTGTAATATCAACTCAATCAGTTGCCGCAAAATGCAATTTGTGATCGCTTGAACGCATTCATCTATTTAAATATATATGGTAGTTATAATATATACACACATACATATATACATACAAATGTACACACATGCATACATATTGTACATATGATATATTGGTCTTACATTGCCAAACCCGTTAAAACCTAGCTGGAAACGCTTAAATGAGAAGTCCTACCCCACTCGCCATATCCCGCAGATATTGCACCATCCGATTATTAATTCTTTCGTTCGATGGCACATGGTCTGGCTCAGAAGCAGTTCCACTCACAAGACGACATCGAAAAATGTTTTGATTATTGGTTAGCAGCACAAGATGAATGGTTTTAGCGTCATGGTACTGGTGAGCTTTGTCAGAAAGATGGAAAAAAGTTGTTGCTAGCGATGGGTAATACTGCGAACAATTCATTTGTAACCATTTTCTTACATTAAAACTGCATTTCATTAAAAAAAAAACAGTGAGAACTCAGTTGCGCACCAGAAGCGTTTGACTCTTTGAGCATTTTCTTTAGAGTTTAATACTTGTAAACCGCGAAACTGATTATAAAGGTTACTATAGTCTCAGTTAACAGCTAGTTGTTATTCTGCCCCATATACCTATTAAGTGCAGCAATCTCTACACTTCTGGTTCTTCAACGAAAACTCAACTGAGTAATGCTCTCATTTGTTTTCAGTTTAATTCCAAAGCAATAGCTTCTCTAGTTTAAAGGTTAACTGCCTTATTTCGGTTTTCTGCGGTGGTATTCAGGCTATACCACATTCATTTTGTTGCCTTTAATTGAGCCAAACATTAAAACCGTTCCATATTGGTGGCTAATTCGGACGTGTAGTCACTTCGATTAAGAAATGTTTCTTCCTTAAACTATATAGTTGCTCTCATAACGCTATTTTAATGCACTAAGGTCGAACGTTTGCTCCAAGGACACTAAAGCAATCTGTGAGCTTTTGCTTCAGTTATTAGCTTCTACCGGGTTTTAGTGTATTTGACTAATATTTTAGACCAAAAATGCTTTAGGTCAAATAACATATTTTTTATGTTTTTTCAGCGAGCAACTTCAGCATTGCTACCTTAATAATCCATAATAATATAATTTCTTAAAAATATTTTTGTTGGAATTGTTTTTAATAGCCTTTTCGTCGTATCTTTCTTTCTAGTCGCCTGAACTTGTAACTAACAGTGCAATTCTTTGTATACTTGCAGTAATGAATGTCAGATAGGATTTTTAGGTGTTTCTAAAAAATTGTAGATATTCAGTAAAATCCGGCAGCTTTAATATTGATTTTGAATACTAGCTGAAAGAAATCACTAGTTAAGCGACATAATGACTGAACATTGTTTAGTCTTAAGTTGTTCTTTGAGAGCATTTTCGTTTTATATGGCGTATACGCTGTTTACCAAGCTTCTATTGATGACAAGCCGAAATTGATATGGCCGTGGGTTACTAATGCAAAAATAATATGTAGAAACTTTGATGTGGTTTTTTGTCTGATATAAATCTATCTAAACAAAAAGTAGTAGATTTAAAGCTTTTTATTATTATATAAACTTTAAAAATATTCAAAATAAAACATTGAAAAAAATTAAAAAAAATAATTTTTTAAATTAACAAAAATTGCAAAAATATACAAAAAAATTAAAAACTATTTAAAAAAAAATTGAAAATACATTTAGACAAAATTAAAAATAGAATAAAAAAATCTTTAATAAAACAAAAAAAAAATGTTTAAAAATTAAAAAATTAGGAAAATTAAAAATAAAATTAAGCATTAAATTTAAAAAATTAAGAATAAAATTAAACAAAAATTAAGAAAAAATAAAAGTAAATAAAAAGAAATTTAAAAAAATTTAAGAGATATTTAGAAACAACGAGAAACAAAATTAAAAAAAGTTAACTATAATAAAATACATAGGTATATATAAAAAAAACTTAAAGAAAACTTTTTTTAAATTTTCTATTTGTGTGGGAATAGGTACAATTTAATAGCGAACTAAAAAAAAATTATATCAGGAACTAAAGTTCAATTTGAATAAGTAAAAATTAATAATTAATTAAAAATACACTTCGTTTGCGGAAAATAAATTTAAAATTTTCAGTTAACATGCACCATATATTCATATTATATATATATTATACCTACATATATATTTGTGTAGCAGAGACTTTGAATAGAGATGAATAAGCCCAAACTCAGCGGCATATTTACATGAACTATAGCAGTGAAAGGAAAAAAATTAGGTTTATGGAAAGTTCTATCAATCATTAAAATTGAAAGCAAAGTCATACAAAAACACAAATGCATAAAGTGAGTGATGCATTTATAATAGAAAAATACTAAGAAATAAAAAAAATTATAAATAAAATAAAAAAATTTTAAAAAAAGGAGGAAGAAGTTACAAAAAAATTATTATAATAAAAATAATTTGTATACAAGTACATACATTAGTTAATGCACAAGCATTAGGTTTAACATATTTTTTTTTGCATAAAATTACAATTTTTTACAAATGTAATAGGTGATAGTTACAAGCATCTCTGCTTCCTGCTTTAGTACCGATTAAGCAGCTTATAAAGCTGTTAGTTCTTCAATTAGCAGCAATAAGCTTAATCTTTAAAATCTGCAACACGCTCAACAACAACAACAGCAGCAACAAAAATACGCGCAGTACCCACTGCTATTAGCGAACGAGCACATCAACACACCTAAATGCACATGGTACACACCTACACCTATACATACACATTAAGTAGCTTTGTTACACATGCTTAGGAAATCGCTTATAAAACTTGTAGTAGCTGGCACTTGTGAACTCAGCTTATGGACTGTATGTTGCACATACTATCTTTCATAAAAAATTAGCATACATGCAGGCGCTTAGCGCTTTAAAATTTATAATGCTACTAAATGAACACAAAAAGCACTAAATAAGTCAACCAGCAATGTGAGTTTAAGCAAATCAGTGTGGGTTTATGGAGATTTGTAATGTTTTCGAGTAGCTGTTACGTTGGAACTTTTTTGTGGAGGGCGGCTTTCAGGACTTAATGAGCGTTACTTTACTTTCTTTGCTTTGCGAAGTTACTTCGAATTTACTGAAGTGTCCAAGTTTTTAGCGCCTAGAAGTAGGCAGCGTAAGGTATGATAGTTTCAATCATATCGAAAAGGTCTCAAAAGCTGTGGGTGTGGCTTAAACGGGTAACTGAGGCATCACTTGTTGTTTTGCAGTAGTGGCTTGGATGTTTGCAGTTGTATAAGCGTTGAGTTGGCAATATCATCGTACTGTACCGAAAATAAGCGAATGCAAGCATTTTGTTGGGTTTTTAAGGGGTTGCTATAAGACGGAGTTTACAAACACAAACAACTAACTGAAGTCATAAGCAATATTCACTTTAAGTTATAAGCTCCTATTATTTTTATGTGCTAAAACAACAAAAAATCAAAAGGAAAACAAAACACAAATTAAAAGAACAGCTTTAACAAAAAATTTACAAAAAAATAAAAAAAAAAATATTTAAATTTAAAAATGAAATATTAAAAAAAAAAATTAAAAGTGAAATATTGAAACGAAAAATTAAAAAATTGAAAACAAAAATTTTAACAGAAAATTGAAAAAAAAACATTTCAAAAACCAGAAACAAATTCAAAGCAATTTAAAACAAAATTTAAAAGATATTAAATAAAAATTAAAACAAAATTTTAGGAAATTTATAAAAGATTTGTCAAAGTTTTTGATCACTCAAAACCGCTATGATTTAAAAAACACAGAACTCCTTCTTCATAACATTTGTTGTCCTGAACATTTACATATATAATAATAAGCTCTAGGTTGATAACATCCTGCTTATGCTCATTAGTCATATACGAGTTTAGTCTTTATGTTGCAAAATCCTGCCTTAGTGTTCGATATATGATTTCTGTTTTCCTCTTGCCAACCAACTAAGCGCTGCTTAGTGTCTGCGATATTTAGCTCGCTCTTTTTTACGCTCGCATTTTTCTCTGTTATGACTCCGAATCCACTATGCTTTATGGTACATTTAAATTAAATTTCCGGCCTTGCTGTCACCACTAATAGCAGCATATGCTACTTCCGGTATTGTTGGCACTTTGTCAATTGCACCGAGGGCGTTAACTTTTTTTTTACGCGCGCCTTTTGCTGGCCTCAGTTGTTTGTATTTGATTTTACGTTTAATGCATTTTTTACTTTTTGACTTTTTATTTATTTATTCACATATTTTATTTTTGCAACCGAAGCACGCCATTAATCAGCCGGACAGTTGGGCAGCGTGCCAAGCCGACATTTGCTCACAAATTGTGTTTCCTGTTTATGATTTTTGCAATTTTTTCCATTATGCTGGCAAATTTTACGTTTCTGACTTGCAAGATTTCATTATACAACTTGCTAAAATTTTTATTTGATTTATTTACACACACATGTTTATAAATAAATAATCTCATAAACTGTACTCAAAACATACTCACATAGTCGCTCTGCTCTGTTTACTTTTGCTTTCGTTGCAGGCCTCTCTAAACGTCCAATGGGTCCGCCGCATCGCAAAAGCAGTCTACCAAAGCATCAGGAAGTGAAAAAGCGTTTCCTGGAACTTTGTGATACCAACTTCTCGGATGAGGTGAAGGCAGCACTTCGCCTGCCCGCATTCGATTCATATGAGTGGTGTGATGCCGATGTTATACATTTGATGCAAACGATGTTCCTCGAATTGGGCTTCATAGATAAATTCAATATACCGGTTGAGACGTTGCGTGAGTGGCTCTATGAGGTCTACAAGCACTACAACGAGGTGCCATTTCACAATTTCCGGCATTGCTTCTGTGTGGCGCAAATGGTAAGCGACATGTAATAGTATTTATGGAATAAAATAAAATTTTTTTCAAATCAATTTTTTATGAGCAAACAATTAAAATAGCTTTTACCGAAATCCTAAAAGTGGCCGTTACTAGTTTTTCAAACAATATTTCACAAAAAGTTCTCAACCATTTATTCCGAGTTCAATTAAACTGCAGTTATATTGAACAAACAGACTTCTTTCGAATCTTAGATGAATTTCAATAAATCATTTTTAACTAATTTTTATAAAAAAAATTAATTTATATTATATAGAACAAAACGTTTTTTGAGATTTGTTTAATTTCAGTAGTTTATAATCTATTTTATAAATTTTATTTTGGTGGCAGCACTCATAGCAATGTTTTTTTTTTTAATTTCTTGAAATCCCGCATCATAACTTTTTATGTAGAAATATTTCATGCTTTAAATTTTTGAAAAAATTTTCAACACACACACAGTTGGCAACCTTGTCAAAAATATATCGCATATAATAGTTTTGCCTTTCAAAACATTTCTAGTTGTTTAGCAAATAAATTGTGTATAATTATATTTAAATTTCTATAATAATTTTTTCTTAAAATTTCAACGCCTTCTGCATACATATATGGCAACACTTTTCGAAACTTGTTAGAGTTTCGAATATCGAATTCTATATTGGCAATTGTAAACAAAGCAGAAAAAAATGTCGAATTCGCTTGACTGTTGGCCTTATCTATTGTTCTACGCTACACATAATTGCATAAACGCATGGCAACCCTATAAAAAGAATTTATAGTTATAATATTTTAACAAATTTCGCTTATTTGTAGTGTTAGTTTTGTTTTTTAATAAAAATAATGTAATTTAAAAATGTAATATTCATGGGTTGGCAACCCTGTTTTCAAATTGCTGCTAACTTTGAAGGGGACGAACTAGATATTCATGCATAAATAAACACTTTCTTAAGAAATATAAAATTCACAACACCTTTTTAACAAACCTCGTATTAGCTTTTGGTAAAAAGGTTATAATTATGAAAGAAACAAATCTAATATAAGACGCTGCCAGCTTACATAGAATATAGAAAGAAAATTAAGTATACCATAAATTATTCCATTGTTTTCTTTGGCTAGCTTTGTTTTATGAGACAACGAAATAGTTTTTTTTTTGTGATATTGCCACACAGCTATAAATAAAAGTTGGGAAATACATTTTTTAATGTATTAATTAATTTTATTCTTTTCAACTTACATATTTGTATATTTTAAAATTACTTTATTTCATATTTTAGAGAATCTTTTAATTTTATTATTGCTTGTTGTCGCCTCTTTACTTTTGAGTGTAACACTTACACATACATAGGAAAGCAGATATCTGCATACAGTCTTTCAGTTTTTTGGTCTATCCGCTTCTTACTTAGTATTGTGTCGTATATTATTTAAGAAATTTCTTTTTTTTTAGTGCAATTTGACAACCATTTTTTTATTGTGTAAAATTTTTTATGGAATTATATAATTTCTATTTTGATACAATACCTCATGCCATCTTTTAGGCACTCAAAAAATCATCATTGGTTTTTAACGCCCTGACTTGAGGTGCAGGTTCTCGCATCCAAAAAATGTTATAGAGTCCGGAACAAGTAATAGTCCGAAGGTGTTAAGTCTAAAGAATATGGTGGGTGTGGTAGCGTAAACAATTCAAGCTGCAATAGCTTTTGTTGAATCATCAAACTTGTATGCGGTCTCGCATTATCCTGTTGAAACACTACTTTTGCTACTTTTTCTATTGATGAGTTCTGGTCTCTTCTGTGTGAAAGCATCATTCTGTTTGTCCAGCTGATCACAATACACTTTTATTACACAACTAAACGTAGTATTTTCGAGCAAAAGACTCAAAATACACGATCACTTTGAAATGCCAGCAAACAGACAACATAACTTTTTTTTGGTGACTATTGTTCTTCGAAGTGGCTTGAGCTAGTTCATACCTCTCAGACCACGTTCTCTTGTGCTTTACATTGTTATAAATAATCCACTTTTCGTCGCCAATAGCAAAGCGCTTCAAAAATGGTTAATTTCTTTAACGTTTGATAGGCAAATCATAGTCGTTAATGCGAAGAAGCTAATTTCGTTACTGCAAGCACATGAGGAGCACATATGTCAAGCATCGCAATTAATGCTAGAAATTTCACGTGCTTGTGAACGGTCGCATTAGACCGACTTAAGCTTCTAGCAATCTCTAAAGTTATTGTTCGACAACTTGCACAGACCAACGACTTTATTTTATGCGCATCGACTTTAAGAGTCCTTGCAGCAGGTAGTGCATGTTCAAGATCGAAATTGCTGGAACGAAAATTTGCAAATCAATTTTGGCATTGGTCAACACATCTCATAATTTTCACCTAGCTTCAACTGCATTTTTATTCTTTTGATAGTAAAACAGTAAAATATGCCTTTTTGACTTTTTTCGACTTTCTGTCTTCGATAGAGCACCAACCAAAAGCTATTCTAAAAAATATAGTAAACTTTTTCACAACCAAGCCTTACTTCAATATATCAGCTGTTGAAATATATAACGGTAAAGCGCTTAAGTGTGAACTTGGCTTCAATAAAAAGCAAATACTTAGTGAACGGTCTAATATTAACTGTCGTCAATTGATTTGCATGCTTGCATGCTTCGTTAGCATCGTCATTCCCATCGCTATTCAAATGAATTCCTCAGCACTGTATACCACAATGCCAATATCACTTTCACTCTAACTAACTGCTAACCTAACTTTTTTATCAAATACAATTATAGCGCTCCTAAATAACTTCTCAACTTAGCGCAAACAATATTATTGCCTGAAATAATTAACAACAACGGAGGCAAATGTAAATAAGCCAAGTAATCTTCAACAATAAATATATTGCAAGTATTTGAGTGAGTGTGTATGTATGTGTGTGTGTGTTTGTCTCCGCACAAACTTTCGCGACACACTTGCGCAGCATACTTTACCCTCTGAGTCGCTTTGTCACTTTTACTTTTGCTTGTACGCATACAATTTGCACTGACTGTTTGTCATCTCCGCTTACACGCCTGCCGATTTTGTCAAACCTTCGTAACTTTACTTGTGGCCCGAACTTTTGCAAGACAAACACTGAAAAAAAAGAAAGCAGAAAAACGTCAAAAATAATAAAAACAACTCTGCCAAACAGCAAGTCCTGCGCCAATAATTTAATGCGAAAATGAAATTGTTTGCTATTTGCCTTAAACTCGCACGAAGCGAAAAAAAGAAATTCTTCGGAAAGCGTACTTCATGCATGTTGTTGTTGTCATAATTTATGCGAAAGAAAGTGAAAGAAGCATATTGCTGCTGAAATACAACAAACTGCTGATAATTTATTTACTTTTTATTATTTCATGGCACGTATGTTATTGCTTTCGGGTCATTTGTTGTATTTTCTTGGTTTCCGGTTGCCGAATTTTATGTGCTGTTACCTTAGTCAATATATGAATGTATATATATAGGTGAGGCTTCGGAGCAATAGGATAGCGCTTATGCGACACGCGCAGGCTAATTGAGATAATTTGTTGTGAATTCATAAAATGAATTGATCAATATGTTTTATCTAAAATAATAGTTGTGACATGGATCTTAATCGGCGCAAAGAAAAACAAGAAAACAACGTTAACTTCGTCAGCACAGAAGCTATAGTACGCCTCACAGGTGCATTTCTCATGCTATTAGAAAGGGCATAAAAAGATTTTTAACTTGATTTTGATCGGTCAGTTTGTATGGCAGCTATATGCTATAGTGGTCAGATAACGACGATTCCGACAAATGAGCAGCTTCTTGGGGAGAAAATGACGTGTGCAAAATTTCAGATTGTTATCTCAAGAACTGCAGGGCTAATTCACGTTTATACAAATTGACAGACTCAACTCGTAACGCTGATCATTTATATGTATATACTTTATAGGGTCTCCAACATTTCCACCTGGGTCGCACAAACTTCGTGGCAAACTTAATAAAGCCTGTTCATGGAATAATTATACAGTTATTGGTCTGGTGTAGTACCCGACTACATAATTAGGTTTGTGTATAAGCTAAAATTTTTGAAAATATGATTACGTTGTATTTGAACCTAGCTATGCCATATAATGTCAGCTTTCAAACTTCTGATACTACAGTTACCTATTTTTCATCTTGAGTTGACCTTAAGCTGACACGTTCGTTTTCATGTACTCAGCATTAAATTACAATTACTTTGACTCTACTTTCTTCGGGTGTATTTTTTTTTTTACCACTCGTTTTCAGGTTAGTCAACAATACTTCCTTCCACAGTGAATGCCGTTATTTTCTGTTTCTCACATTCAATTTTCAGCATCTCTATTGTTTTCCGTAATTACCTAAATATACTTTGTATCTGATTTGTGCTTTTTCAATGGAGTCGTTTATTTAACTAACTTTTCTGATTTTAGATCTATTAAAAGTTAACTTTTTTCCTTCTCTTTTCGTGCTTGTGCGATATAAACCTACAACTTTGAAAGTAGAATATTCTAGTTCACAAATTCACCCTCTACAAAAAAGGTATTAATAATTTTTTCATAGAGCTACTCCTTTAAAAGTTAAACGGAGTTAAAGTTATGCATCAAATGAACTGAGCATTCATATATTACCATGTCATTATTATTCAAAATCTGGCAGACCAGCATTTAATCTCGTTCAAATCAAATGTATATATCAATATCTTGAGAACCGCGTTTTTTATTATTCCTTGTTTTTTTTTTTTAAAGCCGGTAACTTTGAACTACAATTTTATATCATTTTATTGACCTTTTTTAACTGATTTTATAATTTTTGTGTTCATTTTTTTTTTTGTAAAACTTCTTTAGAAATCAAAAATAAGTGGCAACGCAATTAAATATTTATTCTAAATTTCATTATTTGGGTACCAAAAACCTCTTTTCTCAAATATTTTCTTTGACATTTCCATATATTCCATAAATTTTTAATATTATTAATTTCCGTTATTG